AATTAAGGTAGTTGAGTCAAATTAGGAAGTGAATGAAAAGTGGATCCATTCTAAGTGAGAATTAGATCCCAAGTTCCCCTAAAAAACCACTTTTCCTCATCCTGTCGAATTTGCAACTCTACCAAGGGAAGTATTCTCTTAAAACTCTCTCTGCGTCACTATAAAAGTAAGCTAATGGCATGGAATGATCATAACAATTCATCCCATCTCTTCTCCAACCTTATCAAATATTGTAGGGAGAAGCGCTGCAGTCGAGAACAACTCTAAAGACGCCAATCCAACGGCAAGATCGTGATTTCCAAGTTGGTCGAAATTTTGGCATCATGATTTAGGTTTTGGTTTTCAACTAATAAAATATTACGATAATCTTTTATTGCAAATAGTGTTTATTATTGGTAATATGGCGGGTAATCTTATTACCTTGTTAAGGGGTGTTATTAAAACATTACCAGAGTAATTTGATTTTTCTACCCATTTTGCCCTTAATTAAAAACCATTTTGGACACAATTGCCCTCAAATGTCTACCAAATAATAATTAGCCCAACCCCCTACATTTGAGAAATTAGCTAAAACACCCTAGCCACAAAAAAATTTAAAAGTTAACAAAATACCCCCAGCCACCTAAGACCACCGCCGATCGTGACTCACCACCGTCAACCGCTGGTGTTAGTCACCATAACGGTGCACGACTAGCGAGATCTGACCAGTCGTGCGTCGGTGAGGCATTTTCTATGATCCATGGCCGAAAATGGCCAGATCTGGTGTTTCTATGGCCGTTTCATGACTAAAGATATGGTCGTGAAATGGTTTTTGGTTGTGAAATGGCACAGCCAAAGATCTGGCCTTTTCACGGCCACATCTTTGGCCGTGAAATGACCATAGATTTGGTCCTTTCTATTTCCAGCTTTGCCGGCGAACGGCTAGCCATATACGACCAGTCATGCGCCATTCCATCGAATGCTGGCGGCGGCCAGCGGTGGTGGCTGGCTGTCGGCAGTGGCTTGAGGTGAGTCGGGGTGATTTTACCACAAATTAAAGTTTTATATGGTTGGGGTGTATTAGCAAAGTTTCAAATGTAGGGGGTTAAAAGAAATGATTCAAAAAATAATAATATATTAATATTTAAAAAAAAAAGAAATTTAGTAATCTATGTAACATACCCATCAATTTATCCTCCCAACCAAACATATTATTCACCAATTTATTCGAACCAACCAAACACATTTTCTAAATATTCCTAGTAATCTTTAAGGCGGTCTTTCATTCCGTTAATATAATATACCTCTATGGTTGCATTTGATTCGGGGTGATATAAGATTAATCTTGTAATCTTTGTTTAATTTTCAAGATTCCCTTATTTGGTTGTCAAGTAATAAAATATTATGTAATCTTTTATTGCAAATAGTGTTTACTATTGGTAATATTGGGGGTAATCAGATTATCTTCCAAATGGGTGTTAATATAATTGTTGAGGTGATCTTAATTTTGACCCTATTTTGCCCTTAATCTTTTATCTTTTCGGACACATTTGCCCTCATATGTCTACCAAATAACAATTACCCAGACCCCCTACATTTAAAAATATAGCTAAAATAATCCAGCCACAAAAAAGTTTAAAAGTTAACAAAACACCCCCATCCACCCAAGACCACCGTCGGCCGCTAGCCACCACCGTTGGCCGCCGACGAAAGTAATCATATCGGGGTAAGACCGACGAGATCTTGTCAGCCGTGTGCCGGTAAAGACATTTGTGGCCAAACAACCAGATCTGGCCGTTTCATGGCCAAAGATGTAGCCATGAAACGCCATAGATCTAGTCGTGAAAAGGCTACCATTTCACAGCTAAAGATTTGGCATTTTCACAGCCACATCTTTGGCCGTGAAACGGCCATATTCACAGCTAGATCTAGCCGTTTTTTGCCATGAATCTTTGATCCATGGTCGGATTAGACCTTACTGGCGCATGATCAGCCAGATCCGATCGATCGTGCACCATTACGACGGCTGCCGGTGATAGTGGCTGGCTGTCAGTAGAGGCTTGGGGTGGGTGGGGGTGATTTTGCTATAAATTAAAGTTTTATATGGCTGAGGTGTTTTAGCAAAATTTCAAATATAGGGGTTTAAAAGAAATAATTTAAAAAATAATATTATATTATTATTTAAAAAGGAAGGCAATTTAGTCATCTACATAAGATATCCACTCATTTATCCTCTCAACCAAACATATTATTATAAGGTACCCACTAATTTATTTCAACCAACCAAACACATTTCTCTAAAGATTCTCTGGTAATCTATCTTTCCAGTAATACAACATTCTCCCGTAATACAATATTTCCTAAACCAAACGCACCCTATAATAAAACATTATATGATCCAAACACCTCCTAAGATGTGTAGAATTTAATCAAATCCAATAATAATAGATGAAAGTAAATGACACAACTAGAACTGGCCGTTTAATGAATTGTTGGATGCAATAATAAAAAAACCTTGAACTTAATGATATAAGAAGACAATTATAACAATTTAATATAAAAACTAAAATTGTTACAACTCTTGTCCTAGAGTTATAACAATTTTTGGTGTTGTAGAACGGATATATTCATTATTCTTTTCTTCAATTAAGCAATGAAATTTTTTACAAAATAATAATTATAACAATTAACATCACAAACATATTAAATGGATTTTATTACAACATTAATAATAGTAGTTGTTTATGCAGAAAGAGGCTTTTCAAAACTGAAATTAATTATATCATAATAAAGATAAACTGTAAATGCAAAAAATCCACGGTTGCGGAAATATGGTCTGATTCTGTGAGGTTGAGGCCACTGACAATCCGCTGGATTTGCACACACGAAGAGACAAGCGTGAAGTTTATGAAAAACACTGGAGTGGTGTTTGCCCTAGGTACTCCGACGCTCAAGTCAGCAAGGTTAAAAGAGGTGATTTAATAAAAATTTAAGGGAAAGAAGGATTATCAGGAGTTTCGTCGGAGACCAAGACTACGACAAAGGCGTCAAGTTCTCGAGAGCAAGAACTTAAGAGCAAGTAGGTGGTTTTGAGTAGTGGAGATTAAATGATTTATGAGAGGGCATACCTCTATTTATATAGTAGTTGTAGGATCTTCAAATCCTAGTAGAATTTTGAGTCCATAATGGCAGAAGCTTAGTGAATAGGAAAGACCAGATTCAAAGGAGTAAGAGTCCTAATTCACATAAGACTCGGGACCTTAGGTGAATTAATGTGAATTAGGATAAAAATAGAATAGGAAGTAGATGTAGTAGGGTTTAAATAAGACTTTGGATCCTTAGTAGATATCATGAGCCAATGGGCCTAGGTGGGCTAATGATGAGGCCCAATTAGGATGGTCCAAACCGTGAGGGATTAGGTTAGCACATTGGGCTAGCATGTGACATGGATCTTATTGTAGGCCTAACGGATTGAGTCATGGTCTTGAGCCATGTTATAGATGTTATGCGCTTGGACCTGATGATTTTTTGCCCATACATGTTAGAAGAAAGATTAAATGGATTAAGTTTATTGTTTATTGAAAAAAAAAATTCCTGGAAAAAAAAAATTTAGTAAAAATTAATTAATAATTTTACATCTAAAAAGGCGAGAAAGACGAGTCTTAAATAAAAAAATTGCTAGTTTAAAATCATTTTAAGAATATATTTTTTAAATATAAAATTTTTTCATTGGTCTCATGAAACCCTTGAGATGATATTGTTGGTCGCAGTAAGCCTGTTTAGATTTGGCCTACTAGGGCATAGTCATCGACTACTAATAACCAATTTTGTAGTTTTCAAAATCTTAAAACATTTTTTTTTTAAAATAAATAATCATGTATAAAAAATAATCTTTAGAATTTAGGTTAATTGTTACGTTATTTTTTCAATTAATATTTAAATAGATTGCTTTTGATTTAAAAAATCATTGTATTTCATTTTTGAAAATCTTTTACAAATATACATTACTAGATTTAGGAATAATCACTTTTCAAAAAAAATTATTAAATACTTTTTAATTATTAATTCAAGAAATAATCAATTACTTTTAGAGTAAAAGAACTTTTTCCCACCCAAGGTTTGCCTTACTGATACTTTCTCACTGAAAAAGTTTTAAAATACCATTTTTCCATCCGAAGCTTATATTCCACTAATACCCAAAATACATTTCACTTTTTTAGTTGATATTCGGCGAGTTACTATGAGCTAGGGTAAGAAAGGTTTTATAAAGTGGAGGCTTGTGGATCGAATGGTGGTGGCCAATTGAATATTCACTGTGAAAATCAGCCAAAAATCAGCTAAGAACAAGAAACCATAGTTTTGCGATGGCTAACAATTAGTGAGAAATTATGTGTCGAAGTGAGATGTGTTTTATAAAGAAGAGACTTGAGGTTCAAATGGTGGTGATGGAGAGAATTTTCGTCATCAAAATCGACTAGAATTGGGTTTGGATATTAATGAAATATAAACTTTGGGTGAAAAAGTGATATTTTGAAACTTTTTGGGTGGACAAGTGTCATTAAGGCAAACCGTGGGTGGGAAAAAGTCGTTTACTCTTATTTTTAAAGCTAAAACAAAGTCAATCAAAGTTTAAGCTTGATAAATAGTTGTGACATGAAGCACATATATGTAAATCATACGAGTCATACATATATAACACCATAGTAAGACAAAGGGTATAACATAGACGACCATATGGCAACCGTAGTTTAAGAGTTCGAGTTGACCGATCCTATGTAAGAAATTCAAGCGTATGTTCATATCCTCATCCATTTACGCGGAAAAAGAGAGAGAAGCTTGTCTTGTTTTTGTAGGAATGCGGGTGACTGGGTGCCAGAAGACAAAAGGCCAAATGACAAATCACATAAAAGAAAAAGAATTCTTCTCTATGTTATAGTCATTGAGGGAGGCTTTTCTGTTGTTTCTTTAGTACAACGGTGGATGGTGGAAGGTACGAGGTTGTTGTTTGTTGTTGCAGTATATTCATTGAAGCCACCAACTGCAAGACCAACGCGCTCTAAGGTTTGTTCTATCTCTTTCTTTTCTACCAACTAACATTTTCTTTCTTTGTTTAACTTGCATATTATTGTCATACGACTCTTTCTTTCACTTCTCGTCTTTTATAACTCCTTTCTTTGATGCTTGTAGAGTAGAGTGGTATATTAGAAGAATGTTATATATATGACCCTCCAAATTATTTTATCCCTTAAAGGAGTTGGTCAACAGTCAGTAAATTGATAGATATACTAGTTATAACACCTTCAGGAATTGTGGGATGATACAAGATCGAATTAATGATAGAGTGGGATACTTAATTTACACAAGTTTGATATATATGAGTGAATATAAATACAGTTGTGCTTGTTTTTCCTACTGTCCTGGTTTTTCTAGCTCTTAAGAACTAAAAAGATGGTCGATCAGAATTCTGACTTACAAAATACAAAGTTTCTGAAACAAAGTTTATATATATACATTAAAAAAAAAAAAAACAGTTGATTCATTGTGAAGTTTTGAGTTTGTTTTACCGCAATAATATGACAGTTGTTTAAGATGTATATCATATACAACTAGAAAAACAGACGATATAATATGTGCATAATTAAAAAAAAAAACTGATAATTATCTAGTCATGTCTTGTTTAGAATTCTGTCAAAGAGAGGAATTGATTTCATGTGTTTAGTGATCTTAAATTAATTTCATGAAGTGATACTCTATCTTACTTGTTATTGTGTTTATTTTCCACAAGTAAATTAATCTTGTTTTCCATCTAATTTCTCGCATCTTTCAATGTAGAATAATTGAGATCGACGTCTGCTAAGTACCATGAATTTCCATGTTATTTCCCTCAAAGAAAAGGGAAAGGGGAAGAGAGTGATGCAAACGCCTGCTCAAAATCTGAGTACTCTCGAGTCTTCAACAGGCCTATGTTCATTGCCTGGAAACTCATCATCTCCTAATTTTTGGCCAAACTCCCTCCTTGAAATATCCATGGTCCGAGCCCCACAGTTCAAACCAAATCCTGTCTCTCCCACTTATATTCAATCTCCTGGAAACATTATGTTATGCACCAGTTTACATGTCTCAGCATCTTCGCCAAGTTCTGCGAAGGATCAGGAGCTAACTAGTACTCAACCCTTCCTTCCATGGCCACCAACATTAAGTGATGAATTTAATTTTGCCATCAATGCTCCCAGCTGTGACCAAGAAAACCCTGAGAACTCCATGTACCTCTTTAATATTCCAGGAGAAAGTTCTGATAGAATGTGTCAGGGTTCACATTATGTGAAGGATGGTCTGACTTTTACTCAAAGACTGCAACTGCAGAAACTATCAGAAGAGCTTGGCATTTCTAGTTATGACGAGGACGAAAATTCCAGGGTTGATGTGAGTACTTCTTTATTAATATATATCATCCATCGTTTAGGCATAACTGAAAAATAAATTTAAAATTCTACTCATTGTACTCAGGATATACAAAACGCACATCCACAAGTTTCAGCAGTCCCAGTTATTGGATTGGACTGCAACAGAAACAATTTTGGTTCTTCAGTTGCTCATGTAGAAGGCTATAATATTCAGTCAAACCATCAACTTCCTGAGGCTGCAGGTGCTCAAAAGCAAAGGATAAGATGGACTACTGAGCTCCATGAACTTTTCATAGATGCAGTTGACAAACTTGGCGGCCCCGATAGTGAGTTAAACATCTTGATTAATCAAGTCAATAAAGTTGAAGAGATTCCACTCTTTATAACTATTTTTAGTATGAACTGTAGGTGCCACTCCAAAGGGCGTATTAATGCTTATGAATGTTAATGGTTTGAACATCTACCATGTGAAGAGCCATTTGCAGGTAATTTACTATTCAAACTCTAAACTTTCACCGAAGAAAACAAAGTTGATATTAATCAAAGAAAAAGAAACTATGTATTAGTTATTAGAGATTGACAGAGAGCTATAGCCTGTATGTATTATGTTGTAACAATTGACATTTGTATGGGGTATATGACTTGCAGAAATATCGTCTTCACAAGAAAGTGCAGCAGCTGAAATATGGTAATGATCATGTTATGAGAATAAAGTTACATATGCTTGTGCAATTTTAAGTATGTAGTTTATTGATCAGCTTAATTGTGTTCATTTCATGCTAAATTGTATTATGATGCAATTGGAGACTTTAATTTAAATTCTAATTAAAAAGCTAAAAATCTTTATATTATAGCAGATAACTTCCCATTTGAAGTGAAAAATCTTTCCCTTTCAATTGTGATCACCTCAATTATTTCTTCTACTCATCACTCAGAAAGCAAATAAAGTGGCAATCCACAATAATGATATCTCTATTTTCCTTGCTGGCACACTTTATTCTCTCTAAATTCTTTGACTACTGGAATTAATTCTTTTCATCTTGTCGATCATTCTTCAAAGTTTCCCTCATTAATTCTTGGCGTGGTTTTAAGCAAACTCTATATTTACACTTGCAAGAATAAGAGAATTGAGATGAATCCTTACATGTGTCAATTTTTTTGTTGTTTAGACAAATAGGCTTCAGGCTCCGAAGGAAATATGCAAGCTTCACCCATTGGCTCACAAATAAACAGGTCAAATTCCCATGCTACATTTTATCTTAATCGATTCATTCACCAACATTTGACAATCCTTTTGTAGCAGGGACGTGCAACTAGAGACACTACGTATGCAAATTGAGGCTCAGAAACTGCTACATGAGCAGCTCAAGGTGGGCTCAAGTTCGCTAGTTGAATTGGTTATTGTTCCCTCCATATTCTCATGAATTTCAAATATATATATTTGCACAATTTTCACTTCGCTAAAATTCTCTTAACTTCTGTGGGTTTTTGTAGGTACAAAAGGAGCTGCAATTACGTATAGAGAAGCAAGGTGAGCAATTGAGAAAGATTATGGAAGAACAAGAGAAAGCTGGCAGCAGCTTATTCCCCATCAATGGTTTATTTTCATGCATCAATTCAATGACAGAAGCTGAACAGTCAATCCCATGTTCCTTTCCTGGTACCTCAGCAGACCAAGTGGAGTCAAATACTGAGAGTTCATCTCTACCAAAGCATAAGACCTCGGCCGCTAATGAATATCAACCATCAAGAAATCAGAAACGGCCACGGGAAGAATAGTTACCTCCCAGAAGTTGCTGTGATTACTGAAGCATGTGTATCATCTCTGAATGTCAAATGCTTGTAAATATTATGTACCCCCTTGGAAGGCAGTCTGCCTTTTGAATTTCCTTCCTTGGTTTTTTCTGAGTTGAAGTTGATTTCATGCTACTTCCTGAAATTGATGCACCAGGCCAAAACCAGATACAAATATTCTCCTTTTGTTCTCTATTTCACAATCTTACTATGTCTCTACAGTTGGCTAGTAGAGATCATTTGCACATTTGGCAAATGATTTCAGCCAGTGTTTAAATCATCTTTTGTTCGAGGGAATGCATTACTGATACCTGGTACTTGACAATGCCGGGTTTTGGTGTCAAAATTTGTTTTTCTTCACCTACGCTAATAAAATTTGTTTCTACAACAAAAACATACATAAATTATTGTTCAAGAAAGGGTAATTCAAATTATCAAAAATAAATGTCCCTAGTCTAAAGTTCACCAAAAATAGTGCAAAGTGAAAAGATATATAACTGCTCATCATACTTGATTACAAACATTTGTATATGGTCTATCATTAAGTGTATACTCATCAATTTTACCTCAAACCTTCTCCGTTCAAGTGCTGCAAACATCTACTTTTCATTGCTTTTTCTCTTGTGCGATCCACTTAGAGCTGCTTTAGTTTTTGCCCATTCTTTTAGCGAAGCAGCACTTCTCATGAACGAGCAAGTTTCACCAATGCTAACATCTTCATTAGGCATTTGCTTTTGTACTGAATCGTTGTTATACTCAACTATTGAGGCAGAAGCTTCAATGTTGCCAACCACAGTCTGCTGGTTCTTTTCTGGAAGATTTGACGCAACGCCCCCTTCTTTTCTGTTGTTCACTGTAGTTGAGCCACCTCTAGAAGATTCACTTTTATCTTCTTTTACTAAATTGCTGCCCTTGTTGTCATCTTTTTTTACTGTATTTGGAACCCCCTGGGGTTTGGTTAGTTCATGATTTTTAAATGTAATACCAGGAGCAATTTGTGTGATGCTGAAAGAATTGTTATTCTCAGTAACCAATTGTGTCCATGGGGATTTCTGAAACCATGAAGAACCTCTGCCTGATTTACTTGTAGATCCATTGGTTTCAGAAGGTCGACCATCAAAACCTCCACTATTTCCTTATTATCCAATTTCCCTTGCAAGTTCTCATACCTTGCGAACTTGTTCTCACTGTCAGTGGATTCAGGGGCATTTGGCACATCAGATACTGGTTGTTCTTCTTTGGTAGAAATGTCTCTTAACCTATTTGAAACAGTAAATTAAACTTTGTCCTTTTCTCCAACAAGTTCTCCACATGATGATTTTTGTGACTCGGAAGGATTGGGAATTGATTGTTTGACACTTGATTCTGGTTCAGTTGGTTCAGCTCTTGAAGGATTACTTGACCCATTTGTATGCTTTTGCAGAGTGCCACTGCATTCTGGGATAGTAAACACGAACTCATTTCCATCACTTTCTTCTCTGTTGAGCGATTTCTTCTTCTTTTTACGAGGTGGAGTACTCTTATTCTGGGCCTGGTGTACACTCTGAACTCTTGTATCTTCAGCTGTTTGTATTTCATTGGATGTTGATTTCTGGGTATTCAAGACATCAATGATCAAGAAATTCAGGTCAGGCAGTACATTGACACCTATTTTTATAATTGTAATGTGAAGACAAAATAGCGCTGCAGCTATACCTGAATCACTGTTGACTTTGCACCCTGTTCCTGGTTTCCTGGCAACTTCTTTCTGTTGTTTCTCTTTGACACCTCATTAATTATGAGATCATCTTCACCTGTTTCATTCTCATCAAACTGCAGATCCTCAATTGATTCGACAGCATTGTCTGCTTCCTTGGTAGAAGCAACAACTGGCAGTATATTGGAGACATTAAATACACTACTATCCTTGCCTCCAACAAGTGCTCTCCAGGATAATTTTTGGGACCATGAACAGTCGGTAGTTGATTGCTTGACACCTGATTTGGTTCCAGCACCTTGAGCTCCCAAAGGTGTTTGCAAATTCATGTCAACTCCAGGATTAGCAGAAACAAATTCATCTCTGGTGCTTTCTTCACTGAAAAGAGATTTCCTCTTCTTCGGATTTTTCTGTGATTCAGGCTCACTCTGAGCCAGTCTACCTTTAGAATTTCTTGTTTCCCTGAATGTAGATTTCTGGGCATTGAAGAAAGCAAGGATTTAAAAATTCTTGCGAGAAAGTAAAGATATCTAACACCGAAGCAAACAAAATAAAAAATAAATGGCCCATTATGGAGCCATACCTGATTTATTGGCAAGGTAGTCGATTTTTCCTGGCACCGTGACAAAGCCATTTTGTTGTTTCCCCTAGACACCACATTAATTACAATGTCATCTTCATCTTTTTCATTCTCACTAAATTGCAGATCCTTAATCAATTTGATGGAATCATGACCATCATCAGCAGGGCCAGTCTCGTGAGATGCAGACTTAGAGACATTTTCCCTCTCAAAGAGCTTTTTCATCACCGAATTCATTATATTAAGCTCTTCCTCATTCACTCCACCACTCTCTGCTGCCAGACCATGCATTTCTTCCTCTTTTGCAGTGTGATTTTGCATTTCTTTCCCTTTTGCAGTACAAGAAGGAACAAAATGTTCTTCGCAATCACAAAAATACATTGGTAAAGGAGGAGCTTCAACACGTTGAAAACTGTATTTGTGCTTGCCCGTGCCACTAAATGGCAGTGCTTTCACCTGCACATGAAGTTCTTAATTAAACATTCTTCACCAATGTATCAAAAGCCAAGTACACATATTAGACCATCAGAGCACTTGACCGCGCTATCATATCTAACATCTTTAAAACTTACTTTTCTCAATCTGGGGAAGAAAATGTGTAGATTCTTTGGTGAATCAACAACTTTTTCGGTCTTCTCTAAAGATGCCGTATCTTTATCACCATCACCACATTCAGTGGGCGGAGTACTCGCAAGTTGAGCATCTTCAGCCCACTCCCGATTCAACCGAGCAAGATAGTGCTCTTTAGCCTTCTCCAGCCTCAGTCTCCCTCCCTTCCACACACAACCATTATACTGCATTCATCAAATACCTCAACCCTATTAAAATTCCAAACTCTTCTCAACTGGTTGAATAATTAATTAATAACAAGAAAAATAAATTAAAATAATAAAAAACCTCTAAAATCTCTTCCGGTCCTACTTCTTTCTTTTGCTTACTATTACAATTTATAACAAAACCAATGAATTCTATTTTCTGGTGCAAACCCATATGCAAAAACAATATAGAGATTATACTGCATTCATCAAATACCTCAAACCCATTAAAATCGTACACTCTTCTCATCTGATCGGATAATTAATTAATAACACCAAAAAGAAAAAAATAAAATAAAATCTCTTCCAACGAATTCTATATTTTGGTGCAAACCCATACGCAAAACAATAGAGATATTAGAAGGAAGAAAGAGTGAGAGAAAGAGAACCGTGCTGAAGAGCTTTGAAAGCGATTTATCAGAGGAAGGGAAAAAGTCGACGTATCCAAAGCTGCGGCCTTTGGTTCTGACGATGTCCACTGTCTTCACATCTCCCAAAGAAGAGAAAATCTTCATCAGGTCATCGCTCGTCACCTTCTCTCCCAATCCTCCCACGTATATTCTCGTTTTATCTTCTTTGGGTTCCATTGTTCTGTTTCCCTCGACAAGTTTCAACTTTTTTTTTGGTAAGTAACAAGTTTCAACTTTCAAGCAATAATAATCAAAATTACTCACCTATGTGAATGGGATACTCTGTTTGTTCTAAGAATAGATTCTATTTCTGAAAGTGGGTGGGGAAAAAGAAGCGGGTGCGGCGGCAATTGCAGTAAACTGTGGAGGGAGCTGCGCTGGTACCGATTATGAAGGAGGAGGTGATTGTTGCATAAGGGATGTCAGATGTGGGTACTTAGTGATAGGGGTGGTGGGTGGGGGGTTAGTATTTCTGTGTTTTCGGCCCAGACTGCTATGTGAACGACCCAAGGCCAATCTCTGATATNGCTGCGGCCTTTGGTTCTGACGATGTCCACTGTCTTCACATCTCCCAAAGAAGAGAAAATCTTCATCAGGTCATCGCTCGTCACCTTCTCTCCTAATCCTCCCACGTATATTCTCGTTTTATCTTCTTTGGGTTCCATTGTTCTGTTTCCCTCGACAAGTTTCAACTTATTTTTTTGGTAAGTAACAAGTTTCAACTTTCAAGCAATAATAATCAAAATTAATCACCTATGTTAATGGGATTCTATGTTTGTTCTAAGAATAGATTCTATTTCTGAAAGTGGGTCGGGAAAAAGAAGCGGGTGCGGCGGCAATTGCAGTAAACTGTGGAGGGAGCTGCGCTGGTACCGATAATGAAGGAGGAGGTGATTGTCAGATGTGGGTGTTTAGTGATCAGGTGGGGGAGGTTTAGTATTTCTGTGTTTTCGGCCCAGACTGCTGTTTGAACTACCCAAGGGCCAAGGCCATTCTCTGATATTCTAACCCAAGTTTTCATTAATTTTTAAATTAAAAGGGAAATTTTTCTTTACTTAAAATTTTATATTATAAAGAAAGTATAAAGTATAGTTTTTAGCTTCCGCATTTAAAAACTAAATAAGTCTTGTTTAAGTGTGCATTTAGAAGGCAAAGAAATTTCCCAAATCTAAAGAGGGAAAATGACAGGTTTGGATCAAGAACATGAATCTTAGTTTATAATTGAATATCTCCTCATTAAATCTCATACATTTTATTATTGTTTACACTTTTAAACCCCAGAGGTTTAAAAAATTGCACTTTAACCCAATTGGTTGGACTGTGTGTTATAACGACTAGTTTTTGAACCTTCTCTATATGAAAGCATTCCCTATTCATTTAGAACAACTTTGCCAATCCTATACTTGCAAAATCATAAAGTTCTCTAATCATTCTTGAGCTTTCATTTGGAAAATTTCATGTTTCTCACTAAACCCATTTGTGCAAGGTTTGAGTGAAACGAAACTTATATATCCACTATTAAACAGAGTTTTATTTGTTGTGAAAACTTAAACGAGTTACTAACTTTTCATCCCTAAGAATTGGACAAACCCTTTGGTCCCGTAAAATTGGAAAGTGTCATTGTAGTCCCTATTAGACAATTGTCCTTAGAAATATTAGATCATGTACGGGCATAATTGTCATTTACTGCCCTTTTGTCTTTACATAGAATAAACCATACTAGCTATGGATAACTGATTAAACCCCCACATGTTCGGCGAATTATCATACCACCCATTTCTTTCGAAAATAGGAGGTTAGCCCCCATTCCATTTATAAAATTCTGTTAAAGGTTGAACTGACGTTTTTACCCTTTATCTAAAAAATTTAAGTTAATTTATATATGAAAATGTGATATTGATTACCAAACAAGTCATTTTGCATAAATCTCTAATGTATATTATATATATGCAGATAGACTAATTAAAAATATCAATTCATTGTTTTGAGAATCAGTAATAAATTTATTCACAAAACAGTGATTAAACTTATCTTTTGACCTTTTTTCTTTTTTTTGTTTGTTTGACGTATTTGAGAGAGCAATTTGACTATGGTTGGTTTTTAGTAATAATAAATATATGGCTTGACAAGTGTTTTATGTGTTTTTACACTTTATTTTGCATTATTTATATTAAACTTTTGCAATTGTGAATTATACCCATTGTAAACACTCTGGCGATGTTTTTTATTACAAAAAAAAAAAACAAAAAACAAAATAGGATGAGTTTAGTAAACATATTAAATTTACTTCAATTCATTATTATGATTTTAATTTCCTCAATTATCTCATGATAATACAAATTATAATTCATAATTACGATTGGTTTCAACTATAGTTATGATATCCATAATGTAATATATAACTGATTAACTTCTCATAAGGATATATATGGTGTTTGTTGATGATTTTTGGAGGAATTACATTTTCTCACCCTAGGTACATCAAAACTACAAATTGATACCCACAATTCCGAGAACCATCTATATTTCACTTTTTGTTAGTGTTTATTAATGAATTAAGGAATCTAGCTAACACCATTTTAAGGGTGCAATGTTAATTTTCCCTTAAAACTTCAGAATTTTTAAAACCGAAATAATGGTATAATGACATTTTCTCACCCAAAAAGTTTCAAAATACAACTTTATTACCCAAAACACAATTCTGTTAGTAAATTTTNATGTTTTTTATTACACCAAAAAAAAAAAAAAATTAAACAAAATAGAATGAGTTTAGTAAACATATTAAATTTACTTCAATTCATTATTATGATTTTAATTTCCACAATTATCTCATGATAGTACAAATTATAATTCATAAATACGTTGGTTTCAACTATAGTTATGATATCCATAATGTAATATGTAACTGATTAACTTCTCATAAGGATATATACATGTTTGTTGATGATTTTCGGAGGAAATACATTTTCTCATCCTAGGTACATCAAAACTACAAATTGATACCAACAATTTCGAGAACCATCTATATTTCACTTTTTGTTAGTGTTTATTAATGAATTAAGGAATCTAACACCATTTTAAGGGTGCAGTGTTAATTTTCCCTTAAAACTTCTGAATTTTTAAATAGAGTAAACATTTTTCCCACCCAAATAATGGTCTAATGATATTTTCCCACCCAAAAAGTTTTAAAATACAACTTTATTACCCAAAACACAATTCCGTCAGTAAATTTTGTTGTGAAGGAGGGCGGAATGGTCAAAAGTTCGTTATACATAAGGACAGGATGGTCAATTAACAAACCCCCATCACCACGCAAACCTTAGTCAAGTGGTGGGGTGAATATGGGTTGAGGAAAAGTGTTTTGTGGTGTCACCGATGTCCAACGACGTTGGACTCAACCGAACGGCATGAGATGCAGTTGCGTAGGTAGCTGGAAAATGGCGTAAAACCTTTCTAAAAAATGTAGATTATGGTCGAACAAGGTGGACCAAGGCTAAAGGTTAACTAGGCATTGTAAAGGAAGCTGAGCAGTCGCCAAAAAACACTGCAAACGACCAGCGGAGGCGCCGACACTTCTGAGGATTTGGGTTTGGTTTGGGAATTTTTTCAAACAGGCGAAGTGCCAACTAGGGGTGGGATAAACCGGTTTATCCAAACCGAACGGGTTTTTCGGTTTGGAGAAAAACCAAACCGAAAACCAGACCGGTTTCGGTTAAAACCGAATGTGAACCGAACTGAATTTTCGGTTCGGTTATCGGTTAACCGGTTTTCAAACCGATTTTTAAATTACCCTTTAATCCTTAAAATTCTTCAATGTTTCATTTAAGTCCCTAAATTCAAATATTTATTATTTAATATATAATTTCTTATTTCATACTATGTTTCTCTTTTATTTTGTATTATTGTTGTATTCTTTGTATGAAAAATACATTAAATTACTTATTTGCAGATACTGAATCTAGAATATGAAATAAAAACATAAGGAGTTCAATTACACATTACTAAATAGTAAATATCCATAAATAAACTCAAATACATAACATAAAATTACGAAGTAAAAAAAATTAATATGACATAAATCATCTTCATCCCACAATGTTGGTGTTAGTGGAGTTTCTTGATTCTGCACTCCCCGAATTTGTTAATGGCAGTACTGTATGGCACACGAAGAAGATCACCATCTGCAATTAACAACTATAAATATCAATAAATGAAAATAATAAAACATATGAAATATTATTTTCTCTATCTAATTTCTCTCTTTTCAACTTGACAAAACCTTCTTCCCACTAATATTCTTTTCAAATATATATTCTTTCTCCAATCTAACAAATCTAACAAATCATTTTCAAATATATATTCTTTCTCCAATCTAACAAATCCACACAAATAAACAATTAAAACATAGTTCAGAACCAATTAAAAATAAATTTCTAAAGTTCATTTTAATAACATGATAAAGATTTCGTGTCAATATAAACAAACAGTCATAACCAGTACTTATTACTTGGTGTAGACACTTGGGAATTTCATTTCATCTGTTTGAAAATCAAATACTGTTAAGCATTTCAACTTTACCTTTCTGGAAACTTATTCTTTCACTTTATTCTCACAGGGTTTTTCACTTTTCACACTAATGCGTGTCCTACATATCATTTCTTCAAACTAATTAATATTCTGAATTTATTCTCTCTTACTTTTTCTTCAGGTTTTCCTAAGATTTCACTTACTATATTCACAATTCTTCTCCTGAAGCTCTCTTGAACTTCTGTTCTTAATTTCTTCCATTGTTTTATGTTCCCCCGTTACAAAAAGATTTTGACTTTTTTTTTCTCTGGGAATCATATAAAGAGGCTCATGATCATAATTTTGTTAAAGTACTTCTTGCAATGACTTTATGCATTGTTCAATCATTTTAAAGATAGTTATTTTCTAACTGTCTCGAATTTTGGTCTCTATAGTTTCTCTTCACCCAAGCGAAAAACTGTTGATATTAATTCCTCCAGAATCTCAGTTATAACAAAACAAACAAAAACTTCAGCCAACATGTAATGTAAATGCTCGCAAAAGGCATGTTACATAGCCAACATGTAATGTAAGAGTACAAGGATATCTTTAGCCATTGCAAATGGACCATCGCTTGACACAGTTTGTAGATGTAAAAATCTACCTGTACGGAAGGGGAGTCTGATCCCGTGAGGTTGAGGCCACTAGCGATCCGCTGCACCTGCACACGTAGAGAAACAAACGCGTGAAGCGAACGGGAAACATCGGGGTGGTGTTTGTCATAGGCACTCCGACGCTCAAGTCAGCAAGGCTGAAAGAGGCTAGTATAGTGAGGGCTAGGGAGTAGAGAGGTTACCAAAAGTCTAATCAGGGACTGTGAATACGGCAGTGATATGAGGCTCTCAAGTCAGAGCTTCGGGTGTGAAGGTGTAATGTAATCTAATGTTACGTCCCTTGTGAGAGGGCTGGCCTC